TAATGATGTGTTAAGAAATCAGTTTTACCCCGGTTCTTTTATTCGTCGAAACTTCCAGAGACGCCACCGGAACTCAGTAGTCATTTCACAAAACCTTTATTCATCTTTATTCATCTTTATTTAAGCATGCGCTTCTAGAAGGGAAGACGAGGCCGGTGTGTCCCTCTGCAAAAAATCTTCACCCCTTTGTTCGTTACAGCCAGCTTTATAGAGGCGTCCCCTTCATAAAAAAACCCCACGCTGCAAACTCTGTCTGTATGTGCACGAGCACATGAATGCCTGCATGTGCGCGTGTGACTGTGTACGCATACCTGTGTGTATGTGTGAGTGCACATGAGTGAGTGTCCGTGTGGATGTGTGTGTGCGTGACAGTTAAAACACTGTGGGTGTAGGTGACTCCCTAGGTCATAAAACCCATCTCCCTTCCAGACCACAGTTATCCAGTTACAAATGTTGAGACCCCCACCCAAACATCCTCTGGGGAAATTTCCACTCAGCTCTCTATTTTACTTTCACAGTTCAAGTGGGGGAGGAGTCTCCTACAATCTACTCCTAAGTTCACGACACAGTGAGGCCTTTATTATATTGAGGGCAGTGTCTCTACAATAGTTCTACATTCTATGTTAACACATTTCTAAACTCTAAAATAAGCTAAACACTCCTACAGATGATGATGATGATGATAATCATAGTCCATACTGCTCACGGACCCAGAGTCCCTGGAACCGGGGACACATGAGTGAGCGCGCATCAGAAATAAATGTCCGTCCATCCATTTGCTTCCGCTTATCCTTTTCAGGGTCGCGGGGCACTGGAGCCTATCCCAGCTGTCATAGGGCGAGAGGCGGGGTACACCCTGGACAGGTCGCTAGTCTGTCGCAGGGCCAACACACGGAGACAGACAACCATTCGCACTCACATTCACTCCCACGGGCAATTTAGATTTTCCAATTGATTAAAAAAGCCCTCAGCTACAAATGCTACAGCTAAGCTACCGGTATTACATCCAGTCATGAATGCACAGATTGCTGAGTATTTTCAGCATGGCTTCACAAATGATGAAGTCCTTGTGTTATTAGCTGAATCACATGGCATTACTATCAGCAAACGTACTTACTAAAGAGCCAATTTGTTGCGATCTGGTTTTGAGCGCGCATTCCTCTGCGCCATATGCTTCCGGGTAACAAGAAAGTGACCTCATTAACGCAGATTACTGATTGGCAGAGCAGCCTCGAAATTTTGACTAAGACACCCTAACAAAAAGCAGGATTTGGATTTTGTAAATGTTTAAGTGATTGACTTTGTGGAGAACAGAGTACATGAGTGCGTTTCAAACACGTGGCCGTTACAGTATCTGTGGG